TGCTTTGCACAATAAATAGCTGACCTGACCTAATATTCATGAACTAAAGGTAAATCACAACTGCATAAATTCTTTGCTAAAATACATGTAATTTGGTTATTTATCTATTCCACATTTCTGACTAAATTCATTACTGTTTTCTCATTTAGAATGCAACAGGACTGAGTCTTCACAGATGTTAAGAACTGTTTCGCCCTTTAAACTATGGCCCTATGGATCTGTTTACGGGAGACCCAACTAACAGCAGATTATGAAAAGGATGCTGGATGTCCATTTTAATCTCACAACCACTTCCAGTACTTTTTGAGTTACTTCTTTTACCCTTTCGTTTGGAAAAAACAACAAAAACTGCAGCTTAACATTACAAATGCAACTTTTAGACTGGAACTTGGTTTAAACCTTTGTTTCATATTCGATTCTTAATGAAAGTTCTGGAATAAATTTTTGAACCTAATGCTACTTTGTTTTATCTACTTAATCGTTGCAAGAAACTTGTGATAATCGAGCCTCTCATCACCTAATTCATGTGTTCAGGCTTCCGTGTCTATTAGCAGGGGATCACCAAAACCTCCAAGCAGGAACCTAGGTATGTTAACAATAAAAGATCCAGTCGCCTCCCAAATGACTCCTGGGAAGTCGCTTGGACTAGTTCGGGGGGCAGCGAATTCCAGCATTCGACAACTCTTAAGGAGTAGAAGTTGCGTCTACAGTCCATTCTGCTATGTCGTGTCTCTAGTTTCTGGGACTAAGCTCAAATAGGTGTTTAAGAAAATGTCCAGAAGTGTTAAGGATCCTGTAAGTAAATAGGTCACCTCTAAGACGTCTATACTTTAATGAGTAGAGGTTAAGTGATTGGAGGCGCTCTTCATAAGGTGATTTGGTGCATATCTCCGTCACTTTCTTAGGAAACCTACAGGCTCGGGTCCTCTCACAACTTATTCTAGCCACCGTGAGTTGCCACGAAAACTGATGGATGGACACGCGTTACACATCCTAACCGTCCCTGCATCTAATCTCATAGCTTCTTATTCAAATGTCATATGATAAGCAAGTAATGCTTCTACCGACACTAATGGAACACGAGTAATTCAAAGGCACCCTGTATGGTACTTTACATTGGTCTACGCACTCACTTAGCTCTTTAATGGGAATATTACTACAGTCCTGCTAAAAAACCAATGAACCCCCCTACCACCATCAAAACAAGTCTGTATTTGCTGCATATAGCAATTCTATTTTTCAGAAGATATAACAGTAAGAATTGGAGTAAAATAACAATATACAACAGATGCACGTGGTACATGTCTTCATCGATCATCTGAAATAGAGAATACGGATATTAGCTTAACATGCTTATTTAGAAAGAATAGTGTTTACTTTGAACTTACTGTGTGAGAAAGTTATACTGGAACTGTGAATAATGTAGGAATCTAGTCTCCCAGGGCGTACGAAGCACTCAAACTGGAAGACAGTTGTCACAAATTAATTCGAATATGAAGTTGAGAATTTGCAAGTACTTTTCATCGTAAAGGTGAACATATTAGATAACGGTTGACATAATACCGTAAAAATAACAAATTTGCGAGTGGTGAATTATGGTCTATAAAAAGGTGAGCTTAATAACAGTTAGTTACATTTTTAATCCCTGATCATGACCCTTCGGCTTCCTTTTATGGCCGAAACAGCAAACATACACTACACACTGATAGCAGATTTCCGGCTTTTCAATGTTAAGCTTGCTTTAACGCACTACGTAATGCGTACAACCCCTCCATTACTGCTATGTGGCATATTTTTTCATAAAAAACCCTCTGCAATAGATTGGTAGCATCTGTGGTTGTCGGAAGCCTGGGTACTTTCGAAAACAATACTGACATCCCCTACGGCTAGGCACTAAGTATTAGTTTGACTAATTGGTGGGATATTGTTGTCCGCAATACTGAAGAAAATTAAAAACCGGAAATTGTTTCCTTTCATTTTGCCGATAACATCATAGAGGACAGTTAGGAATGAACATGCGGACAGTCAGTCACAGGACGCAGCAACAGTTATTTCAGCTAAGAAAAAACGAACTTCGGCTTTGGATATCTAGAAAACAAGTCAAAACAAAACCGATTTTCATTTTAAAACATAAGACTAACCAGCTTGACTGAAGAAATACATTGACTAGAGTAGAAGCAGCAAAAACCCAAAAAACAATGCTGATTCGAAGTAAATTTCACACCAACATGTAGAACATTACACTAACTGCGGCATCTTAGCACACTGAAACATTAATTACATAGCTACACAAAAGAAATAGCTAAAAGAAGCACAGAGCGAAGATAGCCGACCGCCATTACGTACAAAGATGGCTGATATAATAATTCCCGCCACATTCTGATTGGTTGCTAAGCTGAAGGGCACATTTACGAAATTGAGTTGCGTTTAATTGCAGCCCTCCTACCATCAGTTCTGCTATATGTTCAAGGTGTAAATATATGAAGGGCGATGAAAAGTAAAGGCGATTGTTTAAACCTTCGAAATAACCTGGAGAAAATCTCCGGATGATCCAAACTTCTCCAGTTGCCGATAAATGATTCCAAGTGCAATACGACGCAAATTGACCAACGAGGTACATATACATAGATAGTGAATAATATTGGGCTACCTGTAGTCCAAACATAAAATGATCTAGGAGTCACGCGAGCCAAGACTTAAAACTAATGTGCACTTCCGTGCAATAGCCTCTAAAAGCTTTAAAGCCGTAGGTTTAATACGTGGAGCCTCTAACCATATCGATGAAAAAACGCTTTTGACTTTCTCTACAGTATTCCTTCGTCCTTAAATCCAGTTTTCATACACATGTAAATGAAGATAACTGGCATAGTAAGAGCCTGTGCATCAGTAGGGAACGGATAACACGAACCCAATCATACTTGAAGTTAAAACTCTGAAAGGGATGAAAAACTTCACGTACCTGTTCAGCAAAATCATCGATGAACAAGGAGGATCTGATGTAGAAGTAAGGGTAATTATTGACAAAACAAGGACAACATTCCCACAGTTGAAGAACATGTGAAAATAAAAAACAACTGCCAACCAATATCGAAGTCATAATCTTCATTACGAACGTCAAGACAGTTCTACTGTATGGGGCTCGAACTTGGTGTAGGGACAGTGAAAGTCCACTGAGCCCTAACCAAATCGTCCTGCAGTTGGGTCATTGAACGTCGAACAAATCATCGATCCTCGTCAAGGTCACGGACAATCAACACGCACCAGGGAATCGAAGGCCGTGGACTGGTACATGCGGTAGAGATCTCGCTTTCGCTTGTATCTACTTTAACCAGTACAATTCTGTAATAATGTCCTCTGTGTTGAACAGTCTACAGAGCATCCATGGTACCTTGATACGTCTATGGGGTAGTACACGTAAGGTGCTGACCATGGGGTGTGACTTCGACGTTAGCTGGTTCGTCACATCATTCCCGTCTCAGTCAAGCAGGCATCCGATCATTCGACATAGATCATCTACGTTGGTGATCTACATTGGAGAACTACCACAACCACCATTAAAATAGTACAAGTATTTGTAAACAATATCCGTTGGTCGGATACCATCAGCATTAGCCTACTGTATGAGAGAACAAACCAGCTTCCATCTGATGAGGAAATCTAGAAGCGACGCTGGATGTGAATAGGAAATACATTGCTAATATCATCAAATCGCACTATGAGACAAGCCCTCAATTGTAATCCTGAAAAGAAAAGGAAAAGAAGTAGACTAAGGAACACATTGTGCAGGGAGTTTGAGCCAGACATGTAAAGAATGAATAGAAACTGGAAAAAGGTGGGAAGGTTTGTCTAGGACTAAGTTGGATGGAAAATGATGATGGTCGGCCTGTGCTCCTCCAAGAGGGATAGCAGGCGCAAGTAAGTATACTCCAGTTTTGCGTACAAATGACTAGCCTCTACATAAAACAGAGACAGTGAGCTGTTGGAGAAAGTTCAAAGAACCTCAACTAAGCCGATTCTCGAAAATCGGAGCTCTAGTATGATTCTTGACTGAACATTCAAGATCTATTTGCCCTGTCATATAGAAGAATGAGAGATGACATGAACATAGCCGTTAAATTATTTAGTGATGAATCGGCATCTGATATACTCTCACTTTTCATGTCTTCCAAAAAAGAGAATTTACGAGAACACTCAAAGAAGGTTTACAAGGCAACAGCAAATAATTTGTCAGCTGAAAATCGACCTTCCCGTTCAATCTCCAACAAATATAGTTCATTACCTCAACACGTGATTGCATCTCCACCTGTGGACCCTTTCAAGAGGAAGGTGGACCAACTGAGAGAAAACCATTGCGCGGACCAACACAGACCACTTACCCTTTGTCCTTTCTAAATTGGAACTGAATTATTTGTTGCCCACTCACACTTTTAGCATCATATCCAAATATGGATGAACTTACGTAAGTGTGTAAGAAGCTGCAGTCTCAGTTCACACGGAAATGCATTAGTTAAATTGTGTTTTTTGGCTTTTCTGGTGAATATTAGCCAAAAATATTTAAGCAATTACTTGGTAATATCGATATTTTAAAAAACGATACAAATAAATCATTTAGGCTATTCTGACAACAAAAAGGCATATTTTTGGTACCAGTAACAGATATTTATTGCATGGTGAGATCGAAAAGTTGTTGATACTAATCATTTCTGATGCTGTTGTTTGAAGTTTTCGTCTGTGGCGCTATTTCTGTATTATCCGCAAAGTTATTTTATCTTTCTTACGTTGTTTTCTGGACCTTATCAACAAATTATATATAGCTGTTGACTTTCACTACAGCACTTAGGACCACAGATCAAGTTTCGAAGGAACGACAGAGCTAAAGTGTGCACTACAAAACAGAAAATACTCAATTAATGCTCTTAGCAGTTATTTAGTGTTTATTATGCATCAAAAGATGACTTATATATGGAAACATTTAATACTCATACGACCCAACACACACACGGCAATTGAAATACGGAATGCCCGCTTCCAGTCAGCGCGTTCAAGGTCGTTGAAACGAAACGGCGGACAGATTTGAAAGGGATTACCGTTTTTACCGTGTCGTATGCGGGAATACAAGCTGGTTGTGCTTGGCAGTGGTGGAGTTGGGAAGAGTGCTCTCACTGTTCAGTTTGTGCAAGGAATTTTCGCTGAAAAGTATGACCCAACTATCGAAGACAGCTATCGGAAGCAGGTTGAAATTGATTCTCAACAATGCATGCTAGAGATTCTAGATACAGCTGGAACTGCAAGTCATTTTTTTAAGTGATATTTATCGTAAACTTATAGGAGCAATTCACAGCAATGAGGGATCTTTACATGAAAAATGGTCAAGGGTTTCTGCTAGTTTACTCCATCACATCACAGGCTACATTCACTGATCTCAACGATCTGAGAAAACAAATCCTTCGTGTGAAAGATGTTGACGAGTTTCCACTAGTTCTGGTTGGAAATAAATGTGATTTAGAAGATGAAAGAAGTGTGGGTACCGAACAGGGACGAAACTTGGCAAATGAGTGGAAGTGTCATTTCGCAGAGACTAGTGCCAAGACTAAATCTAATGTAAATGAGGTGAGTATTTTACTTTGTTTCGTTCATTTTCCATAAAAATTAGTGTCATTATACACTCACATGCACTCCACTCAAATTGGAAATCCAGTTTTAGTGGTGCGAGCTCTCTAGTATTTTAATTGGGACTCATTCTCTCACGTCAGTCTGAATTTGGTCGTAGGTGTTTCGATTGTCCGAAATTTAGCAACGAAATAGTAAGGGGATTTAAAGTATTTCAATCAGACTCAAGCATTTTATGGTTGTGACTATCCCCTCATTCGGGATTTATTCCAAGTCGAACGTTGAACATCTGTAGTAAAAGCCGCAAAATTGTATCCTAATTTAGACTGACGTGTTTTGTAAGTTAGTATGAGGTCCCACTCTGGTTTTCAAATGAGATAAACATCTTGAACACAAACCAGTGATGATTACCACCGAACATACCTCACACTTTCGCTGTCTGACATGCATTTTTGAGTATAAAATCTCTAAGGGTAAGCACTTAGTTTTACGACAGTTAGTAGAGTAAGCTTTATCAACGACTTTTGGATGATTAATACGAGTCTAGAACGTTTAGAAGTATAGATTTACCCGTTCTAACATATCGGTTTTTAGGTGTAGTAGCTTACAACCTAACTGAGAGAGGTATCACTTCTAATGCCATATCTATATTGTCTGTTGCAGCTATGCTCAGATAATCGCCTGTTCCTTGCAAATACTAACTTTAAGTATAAAGAAAAACATCTTTTAACATGGCGACCCCCTAATTCGTCCCAACGTTGGAACGAAATAGATCACATCGCTATCAGCCACCGATGGAGGGGCTCGATAGAAGACTGTCTCTCAGGCCCTGACAGATTTACTCCTGAGATTTTTAAGGATGGTGGCCCAGTATTAGCAATGAGATTAACCGAGGTCTTAGGTAGAATTTGGGAACTGGACGTAATCCCATCTGACTGGTCTCAATCACTGATTGTGCCAGTCTATAAGAAAGGACAAAATTCCTATTGTGACAATCATAGAGGAATCAGTTTGACTAATATAGTGTCTAAAATATTAGCTTCAATAATACTTCGACACCTAACCAAAGATCGTGAAGAACAGACTAGAAAAAATCAGGCTGGTTTTCGACCTGGACGTGGTTGTATAGACCAAATATTCACACTACGTCAGGTTCTAGAACACAAACACACATTCAGACGCCCCACAATGGTAGTATTTCTCGACTTTAAGGCGGCATTCGACTCTGTTGATCGTAAGGTTCTATGGCAGTGTTTGTCACTGAAAGGAGTACCAAAGAAGTACATTTACCTTATACAGGCTCTCTACTCGAACACAACTGGTAGAGTGAGAGCTTATGGCGAACTGTCATCAGAATTGATTACAACAAGTGGTGTTCGTCAGGGCTGTCCACTCTCTCCATTCTTGTTCAACTTCGTCGTCGACGTACTTTTAGAGATAACACTCTCCACATCTAAATTTCCAGGGGTTGAACTTCTACCGGGAGGTTCACTTGTTGACTTAGAATATGCTGATGACAGTTTTATTTGGTGAAGACGCTGACAAGATGCAGAGTCTTCTGACCACTCTAAGCAACAATGCAAGCATGTTCGGGATGCGTTTCTCTCCCTCGAAATGCAAAATGTTGCTTCAGGATTGGGTTCCATCGACACCCGAACTAGTGAAAGGGAGTGAAGTAGTTGAGTGTGTCGACCGCTTTACTTATCTTGGAAGTCTCATCAGCCCTTGTGGTCTGGTGTGTGACGAAATCTCAGCACGGATACAGAAGGCTCGACTAGCTTTTGCTAACTTGCGTCATTTATGGCGTAGGCGAGATATCCGTCTATCAACGAAAGGACGTGTTTACTGCGCAGCAGTACGTCCCGTCCTACTTTATGGCAGTGAAACATGGCCGGTAAGAGTAGAGAATATTCATAAGTTACTAGTATTCGACTATAGATGTCTTCGAAACATTGCTCGTATATCATGGGACCATCGAGTAAGTAATGCAGTTGTTAGGAAACGGGTACTAGGTAAGGATGGCAAATCAATTGATGACGTAGTGAAACTTCATCAGTTCAGATGGCTGGGACACGTGTTACGTATGCCCAACGACCGACTGCCTCGACGTGCGATGTTCAGTGGTATGGGAGTAGATTGGAAGAAAGCTAGGGGCGGCCAGACCAAAACATGGCACAAGTCCATGAAGTCACTGACAAGTGGTCTGAGTCATGTTGGTAGGTGTAGACTACCTAGTTGGGGACCGCGAGATGATAGCAACCGATGGTTAGAGACCCTGAATGACATGGCTCAAAATCGTTTGCAATGGCGCAGGTGCATCCACTCTTTGTGTTCACCCAAATTCTAATCTTCTGAATTCTTCATGTCCCTTTTTTCCTCTTTCCAAATTTATTTCACTGAATTATACTCTAAATAACATCTCCAAACCCTAATCTTCCCGATCACTGCTTACACTCTTGCTACCTCTGCCACTACGGGATTTGGATCGACAACTGCATCTCTGTGTTAAGATGGTGTGGCAACTCGAACTGATGTACGTACGTACGAAGTTCTACGTTGTTACTGACTGACTATATTGTTGAACTAAATCTTCGTCAGTTAATCACACCTCACTAGATTAAAGTGATGCTGGAACCTTTCCAGGTCGTTATTTGTCGAGACTCTAATTTAGGGACGACCTTTGAGCGAATCTGAAATGACCTTGACAATCATCAGCCAATCAGGAGACAGTAACTATAAAGTGTAATGTAATGAATTACAGTGGATATTTTTCTTTTACACGATTTAAAAACTTGTTAAGGTTTGATAAAGGTTCAGAGGTTCATAATGCATATGGTATAGAAACTCGTCCATACGATTAGGGTTTAGGTTAGGGTTGTAGCATCTCAATAAACCTAACCTTAACCCTAATCTTAAACCTAACCCTATGGACGAGTTTCTATACCATATGCATTATGAATTCAGAACTTCTGAGCCTTTATCAAACCTTAACAAGTTTTTAAATCAGGTAAAAGAAGAATATCTACTGTAATGCATTACTTTCTTGTAATATATTTTTACTTTATATTGTCTTCTGATTGGCTAATGATTGAAATTGCTCAAACGCTTCTGATTGGCTCGTCCCTAAATTAGAGTCTCGCCCTTTGTAGCAAAGTGGTAGTCTATAAATCCACACCACTAAAAACAGTATTTCCTACAACTACCTAAATACCAAGACGAAGTCTTAAATCACAAACAATCATGCCCATTTGTCACTGATTACCGGTGAATGCTCTGGTATAGCCAAGGGAGCGGAGAATTTGTTCTCACATAGCCACGTGCATACAACCACTACCAGGGAAGTCTTCACTGCCTTCTCGCGACGAGGTGTTGTTTACGAAATACAGGGGACGGAAAGCGAATGTCCAGAGCTTTATCCGGGCTATTGCATACGGAAGATCCACCTAGAAGAGTTGGAAAATACTGATTCAAAACAAATGGTGAACATGGCCTGCAGTATCCTGAAGGGACTAGTGACGTATGAACCTAATGTTGATTACCGGCTAGTGTGAAACTGCGTCTCTTTACGTTTCTTCACTGTCTTGTAGATTAGACCTTTGGGTCAAAGGCTCGGGGTGTGGCCCCCTGGGCAGTGCCAGTTCATTCAACTCCATCAACTATTCAGCCCATGAAATTCCTTGAAATTAAATTCATTAGAGTTTATAGTAATTTCGAATGTTTTATTTTTCAGATATTTCACGATCTTGTTCGTCAAATTAATGCGAAGACACCCAATCCTGCATCGAAGTCGTCGAAGAAATCAAAATGCTGTTGTCTATGATGTAGCAGTTTTGTATGCTTTTAATATCTTGTTATTTATTTACGCGTCTATAAAATGACCAAGCTTCACTAACTTACATTCGAAAGTTCATTATTAACTTTGTTCTGACTTCGTGTAGTAGTTGTGCCCTTACTGTTCTTATTCGCTGGTCTCATTTTTTAAATTTAGTATATTATGTTGGCATTATTTTGTCCCGGCCTCTCTTATGTTTCGTGTAGTTCTCACAGTTTTGCTTTAGTTGCTTGCTTCCTGATTGATGAAATAAAAACAGGTCATACCTTGTTCTGAAACATCCTAATCAGTATATGCCGTTTGATTAGTAATATTTTAATGTTTTTAATCTTCATTTTTGTTTCTTTCAACTTCGGTGTCAGAATTTTTTGTAATTTTCACGCTTTCTGCCTTATACAAACTTCAGTTTTTTTAAATTTCCAATGGTCCGATGTGGTGTGACATGATTATCCAGTTAGGATTGTGTATAGTTTTTAACTGTTTCTTTTATTAACTTTGTTTTATTATCACATGTATCGGTGATACCCTTTTTGTTTTCTGATTTTACATTAATATACGCTATCAGCGATCTCAATCATTTTTGGGAAATAAACTTATATTATATACAATATATGTTATACAATTTTCGTAAAACAACTGATTAGGAAATGACTGAATTTTTTAGGAAAAAAGTGGAACAAACGAAAAATATCTACAGTTTTGGTTGACAATTACATGTGACAAATTAGGGTAGTGCGTTTTATTTTCCACATTTAATTCGATTTTTTGGAACACTTGTTAATAAATCCCCTACATGGACTTGCGTAATGGCTATCATGTGGTTTGGCACAAATTACGAATATATGGTTACATTCGTTGACTAATTTCTTACAACCATTAATCCAATAGCTTAGTTAAATCCTAGGCGTGGGAAATGTAACATGTTTCTTCATAAGTAAGATTCAATAAAATTATTGTTCTGGCCGTCTGATCTATGGGTTGTCGTGCTAGATTGTAGGGTGTTAATTGAAGACTCCGACAATCCAGTTTAAAGCTCTTCGGTGTTACAGTAAATCAGTCTATATAGAAATCATCTGCTTGCCACAACATTCGACAAGGTGAATAAAAGTAACTGAAGATAAGACCCTGAAATGCCATGGAACGGCCGAGAGTGGGGAAAGTCAGCTGTCCCTCGAAACGCTCTCACACGGCCATGTGCATACAACCACTACTACCCGACCGTTCTTGCTACCTTGACGTGGTGGTCGGGCTTGCATATCGTGATGCAACAACCGAGCTATACTGACTGGAACAACTGTTCCTCAAGGTCCTACCACGTCAGAAAGGTCGGTTGAAGAGCGGTAAGACTAAAAGCAAAAACCCAAGGTGCGAAGTCGTACTGCTGACTGTACAGAGGTGTGACAGTAGTAAGGTGTTTCCTTCAGACAACCAGCATGACAGCGATGCTGCCTTCCCACAAGGAGGGGTGGGGTAAGAAAAGGTCGACCCTAAAAATGCACACCTCGCCTTATCCCACGGATATCCGTTTCCGGCCGTAAGGTCTCAACAAGTACGGAGCTAACACAAAAATTGCCCATAAAAAGGTCGTGTGACCGGCCTCAAGCAGTTGTCCCTTGGGCACTGCGGTCACGCTCCCTGGTCACTAAGACTACTTCTAATCCGATTTCCTTCACAGGTACCTCCAGAAGAACCCTTCCACGGTGTGGGCAACCGGGAAGTGATAACTGCCCTCATACCTCTAACAGCACTCAAGACCACTGGATTCATAATCAACCTCCCTCTTCAATTCCTATTATTCCTCCTACAGCAACTTCAAACTCTAAACTTCTTTTTTCAGCTTCCCCCTCAAGTGTCACCATAGCCAACGATTCTAGTGCTCAAAACACTGTCCCAGGTCTACTGAAACCTCGCTCCACACTACACATTGGAGCCTTCAACGTACGCACCCTATGTCAAATCGGTCAGCAGGCTTCCTTGGCTAAAACCCTAGAATCTCGTGCCATTGATGTATCCTGTGTCTCCGAAACACGCATACAGGATCCCAGTGTGGTCATTCACTTGACCTCACCTCGGCAAAACGGAGAGCCAACGAGATACACCCTCCGTGTATCTGGTGACCCGATGGCCAGCTCTCGTGGACTGGCAGGAGTAGGCATAGCACTCAACATGAGGGCGGAACAAGCACTGTTAGAACGGATCCCCGTCAACAGTCGTCTATGTGCTGTTCGGCTAAACGGCTCCGTAAGAACTCCGAAGGACAGGGACACACGTTCCCTTTTTGTCGTTTCTGCCTACGCTCCCACCGACTGCAGCTTAGATGAAGTGAAAGATGAATTTTACAGAAAGCTATCTGAACTTCTTCAGAAAGCTAAACGTTCAGACATAGTACTCGTAGCAGGTGACTTTAATGCCCAGATAGGTAGTTTAAACCAAACAGAAAGGCATTTAGGTGGGCATTTCAGTATTCCGGCACAGCGAACAGATAATGGTGATCGTCTGCTGCAACTATGCTCAGACAATCGTTCATTTTTAGCAAACACAAATTTTAAGCATGAGAAAAGACATCGTCCAACATGGCGACCCCCTACACCAAACCAACGATGGACTCAAATAGACCATATTGCCATCAGTCATCGTTGAAGAGTGTCGCTCATTCTGGAGTACCTGCTTAGACTCCGAACACGCCCTAATACGGGCACGCATCTGCTTGCGCCTCACTGGACGCAAAAAAGCCACAGTAAAAAGACCCATTAGAACTGGATTGAGTAGCGAGAAAACTAAAAGTAGGTTCCAAGAACAACTGAGGTCACACTTACGTAGTTCTGAAAACGAGGTTGACCCAGATGTTGTTTGGAAAGCTATACAAAGAGCTGTGGAAACAGCAGTGACATATATCAGTGATTTAAACCACAGGGTTACAAAGAACCAATGGATTTCCTCTAGGTCTATTACACTGATGGATTCTCGTAAACTCATTCCATCAGGCTCTGAACACGATGAAGAGCGATAACAAATCAGATTTATGTTAGGCAAAAGTCTAAGGAACAACCGTGAGCAGTGGTGGTTAACGAAAGCAAAAGAGATGGAAAAGGCGGCGGCTATAGGGAACACAAGACAGCTCTACAGACTAATCAAAGAAACTGGAATTAATAAGTCAAGTGTAAGTCAGACTATTTCGGAAAAAGACGACACCCTCGTCTGCTCTCAGTCCAGACGTTTAGAACGATGGGCGGAACATTTCAGGGAACAGTTCAGCTGGCCTTCAGCTACTCTACAACTACCGTCCATTCCCAGACAGTGTGAATGGAACATTGAAGTAGGTCCCCCAACTCTTGCTGAAGTTCAAAAGGCTATAGATAATCTGAAACGAGGAAGGGCTGCTGGTCCAGATGGACTGGCTCCAGAAGTCTTTAAGGATGGTGGTCCAATTTTAGCGGTTAGGTTGACTAATATTTTAGTTAAGATCTGGGAGTTAGATGTTATTCCATCTGACTGGCCGCAATCACTTATCGTCCCAATATATAAGAAAGGATCAAAATCATCCTGTGACAACCACAGAGGGATTAGTTTAACAAATATAGTATCTAAAATAGTAGCCTCAATAATAATCAGACGCCTAACTAAGACTCGTGAACTGTAAACACGAGAAAACCAAGCTGGCTTCAGACCTGGTCGTGGCTGCATCGACCACATATTCACCATTCGTCAGGTTCTAGAACACACATACTTATCGGCGTCCGACGATGGTGGTCTTTCTTGACTTAAAAGCAGCATTTGACTCGGTAGACCGCGAGATTCTGTGGCAGTGTCTGTCATTGAAAGGCGTACCCCAGAAGTACATTAACCTTGTGAAAGCTCTTTACTCGAACACTACCAGTCGAGTCAGAGCTTATGGCGAACTGTCATCTGCTTTTGCAACCTCAAGTGGTGTCCGTCAAGGCTGTCCACTTTCCCCATTTTTGTTTAACTTCATCATAGACCTACTGATGGAAATAACATTCTCGTCGAATGAATTCTCAGGTATTGATCTCCATCCAGGAGGTCCACTTATCGACTTAGAATACGCAGATGATATAGTCCTGTTTGGTGAAGACGCTGATAAAATGCAGTCTTCTGGTAGCACTGAGCAACAATGTCAGAATGTTTGGAATGCGCTTCTCTCCTTCTAAATGCAAGTTGTTGCTTCAGGACTGGTCTGCGTCAACACCTGAACTAAGGATAGGAAGTGAAGTGGTCGAACGCGTCGACAACTTCACTTATCTTGGAAGTCTGATCAGCCCTAATGGGTTGGTATCGGACGAAATCTCAGCACGGATTCGAAAAGCTCGTTTGGCTTTTGCCAACTTACGTCACCTGTGGCGAAGGCGAGATATCCGTCTATCAATAAAAGGACGAGTATACTGCGCGGCAGTCCGTTCTGTTTTAATTTACGGCAGCGAAACATGGCTATTAAGAGTAGAAGACACCCGTAAGCTACTAGTATTTGACCACAGATGCCTCAGAAATATTGCTGGCGTCTGCTGGGATCACCGGGTAAGTAATAGTGAGGTAAGATGCAGGGTATTAGGGAATGATGGTAAATCAGTTGACGAGGTTGTGAATCTTCATCGACTGAGATGGTTGGGCCACGTGTTACGTATGCCTGAACACCGATTACTACGACGTGCAATGCTATCCGGTATTGGAAATGCTTGGACGAAAGTTAGGGGCGGCCAAACCAAAACATGGCATCAGTGCTTGAAGTCACTAACTTCTAGTCTGAGCCATGTTAGTAGATGCAAACTACTTGGTTGGGATCCGCGTGACTTTCGTAACCGATGGTTGGAGACTCTTGATGACATAGCTCAGAATCGGTCACAATGGCGTAGGTGTATACACTCCCTGTCTTCCCTTAAACTAAGAGATTAAAATCGCTTCATATCTTTCTTTCTACGAACTAATTCTATGTTCCGGTACTGTATCCTTATTGCAATCTTTATTTTATATATTACCACCTCTGAATTAACTACTTTTATGAATCCGGTGTCCATCTTGTTGTGTTAATGAGGTATGGCAACTTGGACCGATGCATCTATGTGCCTGGTCCTACGTTGTAGCTGGCTGACTGACTGAACCACTACCAGGGGAGTCTTCCCTGCCTTCTCGCAACGAGGTGTTGTTTACGAAATTGAGGGGACGGAAAGCGAATGTCCAGAGCTTTATCCGGGCTATTGCATACGGAAGATCCACCTGGAAGAGTTGGAAAATACTGATTCAAAACAAATGGTGAACATGGCCTGCAGTATCCTGAAGGGACTAGTGACGTATGAACCTAATGTTGATTACCGGCTAGTGTGAAACTGCGTCTCTGTACGTTTCTTCACTGTCTTGTAGATTAGACCTTTGGGTCAAAGGCTCGGGGTGTGGTCCCCTGAGAAAACCACCCACTTCGGTTTGGGCACGTGGGCAGTATCGCAGCCTTTACACAAAACGGATGATTTACGTGGCTCATATCTATTTAGTGCCTCTCTGTACCAATGTTTGTATTTTTAAATAAATTGAAGATAAAGTCTCGAATCGTGAGCCAATCAAATGTGCTCTTCAGAGCGGTATGGTCATATTCATTAAA